TGCAGAGACACCATCTTGGCTCACTGCAACCTCTGCAGCCACAGTTCCAGCCATTCTTCAGCCTCAGCCTTCTGAGTAGCTGGGATTAAAGGCACCTACCACCACACCTGGCTAATTTTTTGTATTTTTAGTAGAGATGGGATTTCACCATGTTAACTAGGCTGGTCTTGAACTCTTGACCTCAAGTGATCTGCCTATCTCGGTCTCCCAAAGTGCTGGGATTACAGGCATAAGCAACCGTGTCCAGCCTCACCTAGCCATTTCTTTGTTACTGTTATTATGAATACACCTTACAATTTAGAACATTTTTAGATTTACATACAGATTGAGCATTATTCATGCTATTAACATCTTACGTTAGTGTGGTACATTTCTTACAATTGATGAGCCAGTACTGATAAATTATTAAGTTTATAGTTTAAGGTTCATTCTTTGTGCTATATAATTCTTTGTGTTTGTTTTGTTTTGTTTTGAGTCAGGATCTCCCTCTGTTGCCCAGGCTGGAGTGTAGTGGCATGATCTTGGCTCACTGCAGCCTTTGCCTCCTGGGCTCAAGTGACTGTCCTGCCTCAGACTCCCGAGTAGGCGACATTACAGACATGCACCACCATGCCTGGCTAATTTTTGTATTTTTAGTAGAGAGGGGGTTTTACCATTTTGGCCAAACTGGCCTTGAACTCCTGGCTTCAAGTGATCCTCATGCCTTGGCCTCCCTAAGTGCTCCAAAGTGCTGGGATTGCAGATGTGAGCCACCATGCTTGGCCTTTTTTTTGGAGACAGTTTCTCACTCTGTTGCCCATGCTGGAGTGCAGTGGCTTAATCTTGGCTCACTGCAACCTCTGCCTCCCCGGTTCAAGCAATTCTCCTGCCTCAGCCTCTCCAGTTGCTGGAATTACACATGCTCACCACCTCGCTAGGCTAATTTTGGGTTTTTAATAGAGATGGGGTTTTATCATGTTGACCAGGCTGACCTTGAACTCCTGACTTTAAGTGCTTTGCCCACCTCAGCCTCCCACAGTGCTGGGATTATAGATGTGAGCCACCAATCGCGCCATTGCACTCCAGCCTGGGTAACAAGAGTGAAACTCCACCTCAAAAAAAAATAATAATAGGCCGGGCACGGTGGCTCAAGCCTGTAATCCCAGCATTTTGGGAGGCCGAGGCGGGTGGATCACGAGGTCAAGAGATCGAGACCATCCTGGTCAACATGGTAAAACCCCGTCTCTACTAAAAATACAAAAATTAGCTGGGCACGGTGGCGCGTGCCTGTAATCCCAGCTACTCGGGAGGCTGAGGCAGGAGAATTGCCTGAACCCAACAGGCAGAGGTTGCGGTGAGCCGAGATCGCGCCATTGCACTCCAGCCTGGGTAACAAGAGCGAAACTCCGTCTCAAAAAAAAAAATAGGTGTAAACAACCTAAATGTCTCGCAAAAGTAGCCTCAAACTCCTGGGCTCAAGCCAAACTCCTGAATAGCTGGAACTATGGGCACATGCCACCATGCCCAGCTAATATTTTTTAAATTTTTTGTAGAGACAGCATCTCACTTTGTTGCCCAGATTGGTCTCAAACTTGTGGCCTCAAGCAATCCTCCTGCCTTGGTCTCCCAGAGTACTAGGATCACAGGTGTGAGCCCCTTTGCCCAACCTATTTATACTCTACATTGTTCCAAAATTATTTTAAGCTAGCTTTCATATTATACTCTATTATATAACAATAAATAATTCAGGCAGGGAGAAATGTCAGGGATGGGCCACAGATTTTATTCGGAGCTTTCCAGCAGCCTGAGTCAAGAAGGAGTATGATCCATATTCATACCACAAAATATTAAGTTGCTTAGGAAAAACAACTCTTGTAGTGCTGAGACCAAATTGAAAATTTTCTACAGGTCTCAAAGAGAGGATACCACATAGAATAGACAGTGATCATTTTGTCCACCAAACAAAACAGTAACTGACTTTATAGAGCTGTTTCTTATTGAAGTTCCTTGCTAAAGGACCACACAATGCCAGTGAGCAGCTTGGTGAAGAGTATTTGCAGGGGTTGGTGAGGATGGTGATGGTTGTGGCTGGGATGAGCATGAGGATAGGCCCGTGCACTGGTCTGAGGGTCAGCTCAGTGGAGTGGTATGTTTTAGAGATTAAAATTATGGTTCTCACCTGATGTGTCCTGCTACCCTGGTGTCCTGTGAATCTTCACAAGTTGGCCACTGAATTTTTATCAATGTGTTACATTTATTTTTGCAACTGATGAGGATCAAAACTGCTAAGAAATCTGTCAGATAGTGATGTGGGATAAGATTTGCAGCAGCCACAAGGAATGCCAGGCAAGAGTCAGGAGAAGCCACTTAGGCCAGCACCAAGGAGAATGTCATGATGTTGGACTGAACACTTATCTGTAAATGTTCACTCAACTTATATTTTGATGAGTGCTGTGGAGAGCAGGTAGTCTGTTTCTGGTCAGGGTTAGGTCCATATGCTTTTGTAGTTGACTGGGGCAGTTGGCAGCCCCTGAGGCAGGTGGAGAAGCCTCATGAGCTGAGATGCTTGAACAGAAGGCTGACTTTTACACACAGAGGTGGGAAGAAGTAGCTAAGGGCAGACCAAGGTTTTCCTTAATTCCAGATCTGGTGTAATGCCTGTTGGAAAGGGCAGTCAAGGTTCTGCATTTCTATATCATAGAGCATAATAGCCTCATTTAAGTCTAGAAGGACTCTATTTTATTTTTTGAGACAGGGTCTCACTCTGTCACCTAGGCTGGAGTACAGTAGCACACTCATAGCTCACTATATGTAACCTTGCACTCCTGGCCTCAAGTGATCCTCTTGCCTCCACCTCCCAGGTGGCTAGGACTAGAGGTGTCTGCCACCACACCTAATTCATTTATTTATTTATTTTTCATAAAGATGGTGTCTTACTGTGTTCCCTGGGCTGACCTCGAACTCCTGGGCTCAAGTGATCCTCTCACCTTAGCCTCCCAACGTGTTCAGATTATAGGTGTGAGAGCCACTCTGCCTGGTTTTGTTTTTTCTTGGCTCTCTGTCAGGGCCAAGAGGGGAGGAGGGAACTGCCTGGGGCAGTGAAAAGAAAACCCCCTCGACCCCGGATCCCCCTAGCCTCAGCCATTTGCCTGGGGCCAGTGCAGATCTGCCTATGCATCATCTGTGTCAGTAGCGTATTGTGCTTTCCTTTGGCATCCTAGGCTTGCTTTTCAGAGGAGGAATGTTTTATTTCCTTGGTTTAGCTATGTATTTATTTTAATGGTTCTATATTCAATTAAAGTGAATGGCTTAATTTTACATTTAAAACCAACAGGAAGTTGCTGCACCAGGTGGGCAGGGAAACTGGGGGAAATGCTGCTCTAAATGAGTTCCGGTATCCTGGCCAAAAAGAGGTAACTAAGGGATTCCGAGGATATTTGCAGATGCAATGCATCAGATACTTCATTCATTTTTACTTATTGTGGAGAACAAGAAAGGTGTCAGAAGCCTGGAGACATTGTTAATATAATCTTTGAGAAAAGGAATTGTAGGAAGTTTTGTCCAGGCCAGATTCTGAAATTCTCTGGCAAAGCAATGGTGTGTGTGCCTCAAAGTGGAAAGCACTAGGAGTTTCAACACAGGCTCACAAAGAACAGGAGGCTTTAGGTCAGGGGCTCTCCACGCCATGAGATTCATGTTTTTTCTATCATGATGAGCTTAAAGCCAAATAGTAAAACCTACTTATGTACATTATTTATAAAAAACAATATGTATAGGTACACACACACACACACTGCCCTAACAGTACTGTAAAGGAAAAATTTTTAGGTACGATAATAAAATTTGTTCTCATGTGTAAATGTTTGGGTGTGACCATACTAGAACACATAAAGATGTGTTCAGAAGCTTTTACCGTCATGCAGGAGCATGTGGAATGCACACTGCTACAAATGCAGACTGACCAAGGTGGAGAGCTTTGCTCTCAGTGATGTGATTTTCAGAAATGGTGGCCATCTCTTAGTCAAGGTCTGAACAAAACAAAATATGACCTTCCTGTGGCCTACATGAAAGTTTTCATCCTAGAAAATTTAGCATATATGAAAACCATGTTTAAATATACTTTGTGTTTATATGTAAAACTGAGTTAGGGGCTGAGATAATAGACATTTGCAAGTCCCATGACAGATCTTCACTTGTGCAGCAACTCTCCACTGAAATGTTGCAGGATGCCCTGTACGCCTGGCCCCTGCCAGTGGCCCCTACTGATTATGACGACAAAAGGGACTCAGAGGGTGGCCCTATCCCTGTTGGGCTAATGTGATTTTTCATGTCCGTGACTGTCAGGGGGAAAGGCATAAATGGCTGACTGGCCTCACCAAGGAGTTGAGATCCACTGGAGAAATCTGCCACTGGCAGGGGTGTTTTCCAGTGGCTCCCCTGCTTCTCTACAGAGTTTCCAAGCGATTCTCCTGCCTTAGCCTCCCAAAGTGTTGGGATTACAGATGTGAGCCACCACACCTGGCCTCTAATAAATTTTCTATTTCTCAATAATGATGTTTTTGACTCATTGTTTTCATTTTAATAAGAAAACATAATTGCATTGATAAGTGTTAAATGACAAAGATGCTTACCACCACTGTAATTATTTTTTGTAACCCTTTCCATTCTGAGCACTCTGTCCTTTCTCTGAGCTCAGCTACTTTTGCTACTCCCTTTCTATGTGGGCCCCTGGCACAGCTAATGGGCCTTGCCTCCGTTGGGTCTTTGGGACAGCTGTTGGCCAGAGAACTGGCAGTCTTTGCCAACCTGTTGAGCCTGCCATAGAAGTCTTCTCTAATTTTTTAGTGACTGATTTTTTCCCCAAGGTCAGTATAGGATATAAGGAAAGTGAGTATAGACTGTGACAGTGTATGTGTTAAAGTTTTTGTTGCTATCCTGTTTGAGTCTCTTAGGAATGAACTTCTGAAAGTTTAGAATTGAATTTAAAATTTTCTAATACTTAGTTTTATTTCTTATTTAAGGCTGCTTCTGATGCTTGGAAGCTTTCCTCTCGGCCACAAAGATGGTAATAAATCTTTGCCTTCCACAGTTCAGACCAAGAATTCACTGCAACAAGGTAAACAAAACAAATATATGCACATAAATATATGATATCTTTGTCATGTGTTTCATCATTTCCTGCCTTGTGTGTGTGGATTTGATTCAGGCTTACTGCACTTCTGCCCTCGTGACTTTAGATTCCATCAGATGGTTTTAGGTAAGCATGGGGCAGGCTCACCTCTAGAATCACACACAGCACCATGATGAGGCGAGCTGTGACGCATTTTGTGCAGGGTTCTCCACTGTACTCTTTTTTTGTTTTTTTATAAAGAATATTGGCCAGGTGTGGTGGCTCACGCCTGTAATCCCAGCACTTTGGGAGGCTGAGGCGGGCGAATCACGAGGTCAAGAGATCAAGACCATCCCGGCCAACATGTTGAAACCCTGTCTCTACCAAAATATGCAAAAAAATTAGCTGGGCATGGTGGCGCACGCCTGTAGTCCCAGCTACTCAGGAGGCTGAGGCAGGACAATTGCTTGAATCTGGCAGGCGGAGGTTGCAGTGAGCTGAGGTCGCGTCACTACACTCCAGCCTGGTGACGGAGTGAGACTCGGTCTCAAAAAAAAAAAAAGTCTTAGTACTTATTTTAATAATTGTACTCTTTATTCTTTGATGATCAATCTTAAGTCTTGTCAAAGTCATAGCAAAGGTAGAAATACTTTCTCTCTCCCGCCATTCTCTCCCCAGATATTGTTTTGAAGAGAGTTTTGGTTGGATTGGGCAGGATTTTGTTGCTTGTTTTTTTTGGGGGGGCGTGGGGATATAGGGTCTTGCTATGTTGCCCAGGCCTTTCTAATTCCTGGGCTAATGGGATCCTCCTGCCTCAGCCTCCCAAGTGGCTGGGACTACAGGTCTGTGCCACCATACCCAGCTCAGTTGCTCATATTTTTAAGGTTGGGGAATACTTGGGACATGGTTGCCCTTGGCCTTTTTGATCTGATATTGGGTGCCTGAAAAAAAATCTGGGACAATTCATTTTAATAGAGGAAATTTTAAAATGAGGAACCTCAGGCTTAAGAGTTTTCTTACAAGTGACAAGTTGTCTTCATTTGGATCACTGTGTCTCATGTTTTTTATTAAATCTAGATATCAGCTGATGGTTATGAAGTAGAAAATCTCATCTCTGAAGATCTCACGAAGAGAAGTCATGGTTTCAGGACGGAGTATTTCATTAAGCCACCAGTCTGTGTGACAGTTTCATTTCCCTTTAACGTGGAAATCTGTAGGATCAACATAGACCTCACAGCTGGGGGAGGTCAGAACATCACTGGCCTGGAAATGTACACATCTGCCTCATCTAGCAGAGTGTCTTGGAGTACGCCCCAGTGTCGGACCCCAGGCCCAGCCGAGCCATCTGTCCCAGATAAGGAGACGTTCACCTTGGTAGGCAAAGTCTTACTGAAAAACCAGAGCCAAGTGGTGTTTAGCCATAGGGGCTTCAAGGCCAGGCCCCCTTTTGGCCCGATGGAAGCCACACTCCCCTCCCCTGTTGTTGTGGCCCAGGAGCTCTGGAATAAAGGGGCTGTTTCCCTTAGCCACGTGGCCCATCTGAGGATCTGTATCACCCATATGACAGGTGGTGGTGTCCCTTGTATCAAGCGGTTGGAAGTATGGGGTCAGCCAGCCAAGACCTGCTCCCAAGAGGTGATAGACAGCATCCTGCTGGTCGCCTCGGAGAGCCTCCCTCAGGATGTGGCTCTGCAGGCCCCAGCCTTGCCCATGGAAAGTGACTGTGACCCAGGGGACCAGTGTGAGAGCCAGCAGGCCCCCTCCAGCCTGCAGAAGCTGGCTGAGAGCATTCAGGATGTGCCTGAGGAGTTCCTGGATCCCATCACCCTGGAGATCATGCCTTGTCCTATGCTGTTGCCCTCAGGCAAGGTCATCGACCAGAGCACGCTGGAGAAGTGTAACCGCAGCGAAGCCACATGGGGCCGAGTGCCCAGTGACCCTTTCACAGGGGTAGCTTTTACTCCACACTCTCAGCCCCTGCCTCACCCCTCCCTGAAGGCCCGGATTGACCATTTTCTACTCCAGCACTCCATCCCCGGCTGCCACCTGCTTGGGAGAGCACAGACGGCATTGGCAGTGACCCCTTCCTCCATTGTTCTGCCCTGTCGGAAAAGGAAGATAGAGCAGACTGAACGTGTCCCAGACAGTAATCTTGGTATAAATGCCTCCTATTTTTCTGCCACAAGCCCTCTGATTCTACCCACTACCTCAGAGCACACTGCTAAGAAAATGAAAGCTACCAATGAGCCGACTCTGGCACACATGGACTGCTCAACAGGTAATTCAGCATCCTGTGTCCGTGGCCAGGCTCGACCATCTCCTTCCTGGGGGCACTCGGCTCTGCTACCCTTTGCTTTGTGCTTGGCCAGCTTACATTCCTGAGGCTGTGCCTGTGCTGCCTCCTTCCCATTTCCCGTTGTGGGGCCCCTCAGCATTATCTTCAGACCAGGGACAACCTGGAGCCTTGGAGGGGTTCTTTGTGTTCTCATCTGTTGCAAGGCTTCAGTCTGCATGTTTCACTCCTCTGCTGGTGATGGTCCCATGGGCACTTTGGCCTTCCTTGGGCTCCCTTTATGTGCCTTGGCCTGGTCAACACTTTTTCCTGGGCTTGAAGCCTCTGGTCACAGCTGCTGGGAGGAGAGATACCAGTTCCTCAAAGCAGAGCATGTCCTCTGGTACCTTCTTTATATTATTCATGTGCCAGTGGGCTCCTCTGGGTGTTGTTTCTAACCTTCACAGAGGTATGAGCATACATTGCATGAAGGTCCTCCGTGCCTCCCTAACCAGATGTGCCGTGAGTACATAGGAAAGGAAAAAGGGACTGGGCTTGTGGGCACTCCTTTCAGGAGAGAGTTACTGAAGAGAAAAGCCACACTGAAGAAAGTACACTCTGTAAATGTATGGACACATTTCAACATTCTCTTTGTGTGTTTTTTTTCTTTCTGTTTTTCTTCCTTATTGCATTTGGCGGGATCCACAGGTAAAATTGCATTGCAACATTCTTTTTTTTTTTTTTTTTTTTGAGATGGAGTTTCACTTTTGTTACTCAGGCTGGAGTGTAATGGCACATTCTCGGCTCCCCTCAACCTCCGCCTCCTGGGTTCAAGCAATTCTCTTGCCTCAGCCTCCTGAGTAGCTGTCATTACAGGCATGCGCCACCATACCTGGCTAATTTTGTATTTTTAGTAGAGACAGGGTTTCACCATGTTGGTCAGGCTGGTCTCAAACACCTGCCCTCAGGTGATCTACCCGCCTTGGCCTCCCAAAGTTCTGGGATCACAGGCATGAGCCACCGCTTCCTGCCTCATATTCAGATATTCTTGAATATGAGATTTAGGGATCCTGGCTTCCTGCCTCTTCCTGGGGCATTGCCAGTGATTTCTGGGGCCGGTGATGCTGCTCTCTCCTGAGGTGAGCAGCCCTGGTTCACTGGGTAAGCTCTGCAGCTGAACGTGTTCATTGTGAATGCCTCATCGTAAGCCGGATGTTGGCTCTTAGGCTGAGATGTTTTTGCCATGTTAAAGAAATATTGGTTCTCTATTGCTAGGTAACAAATTACCCCAAAACTTACTGGCTTAAAACAACAAACATTCATTTTCTCATAACTTCTGTGGGTCACAAATCCCAGCATAACTTGTCTGGATTCTCTGCTTCAGGGTCTTCCAGGGCTGCTGTCAAACTGGTGGCTGGGGCTGTGGTCATCTCAAGGATCGACTAGGGAAGGCATTTACTTCTAGTCTCACCCACATGATTGTTGCAAGATTCAGTTCCTGATGCATTGTTGGACGAAGGCCTCACTTGCTGATTGGCTGTTGGCCCCAGGCTTCCCTTTGTTCCTTGCCACATAGGTCTCTCCATAGGGCAGTGCACATATGGCAGCTGTGTGTTCCAGAGAGAGTGCAGACGAGGGAAAAATGTCTTTTAGAATCTAATCTTGAAAGTCACACTTCTCGCTTCTACTGTATTCTAATTTTTCCCAAGATATTTATTAACTGCTTATTTATAATATCAAGATAAACAATTTTTTTTAGTCTCCATCTTCATATTTTTTAGTTCGAGAGCACAGCTTGATGACAAACTTCTGTGTAATTCAACTCAGAAATTCTTTTTCTTCTTTTTTTTTTTTTGAGATGGAGTCTTGCTGTGTCACCCAGGCCGCAGTGCAGTGGCATGATCTTGGCTCACTTCAACCTCTGCCTCCCAGGTTTAAGCAATTCTCCTGCCTCAGCCTCTAGAGTAGCTGGGACTACAGGTGCATGCCACCATGCCTGGCTAATTTTTGTATTTTTATGAGATGGAGTCTCACACTGTCACCCAGGCTGGAGTGCAGTGGCATGATGTTGGCTCACTGCAACCTCTGCCTCCTGGGCTCGAGCGATTCTCCTCCCTCAGCCTCCTGAGTAGCTGGGATTACAGGTGTGAACCACCTCGGCTGGCCTAATTTTTGTATTTTTAGTAGACACGGGGTTTCATTATGTTGGCCAGGCTGGTCTCAAAGTCTTGACCTCAAGTGATCCACCCACCTTGGCCTCCCAAAGTGCTGGAATTACAGGCATGAGCCACTGTGCCTGGCCAAGAAATTCTTTATATTCCAAAATCACTTTGCATTGTGAAAGGTATCAGCCTTCCTCATCTCCTCACAATCTTTCATGGAATCATCATTTCTGTAGAAATCTGTGTGTGCCGTCTTTCTTCTTTCAGCTGCAGCAAAGTTAGCTGCAGACCCCAGGAACACAACGAACGCTCCAACAGTATGAAACCTCAGACGCCTGGCTAGAGGGCCGATCACCTGAGGTTTTGTCAAAGCACCAGAAGCCATAATAGTGGTTGTCCTTGATAGGTATGTCAGCCTCAACACCAGTGTCTTTCCTGCCTGGTGGAGAAATGGATCACTGTGTTCTGTTTGTTAGAAGCAAGACTCTAAGTCCATCCAGCCCACTCAAGGGGAGAAGGATACTGAAGAGCATGAATATCAGGAGGTAGGGTTTGCCTGGAGATGGTTCAGAAACTCTCCTCTGCCACCGATTTCTACTTTATTATTTTTATCTAGGACTGGGGAATCGAACTTTGTTTCATGCCTTTTAGTATCAGTGGAAATGATACTATTATTATTATTTAAGACAGTTTCACTCTTGTTGCCCAGGTTGCAGTGCAATGGCACAATCTCAGCTCACTGCAACCTCCGCCTCCCAGGTTCATGTGATTTTCCTATCTGAGCCTTTTGAGTAGCTGGGATTACAGGCATGTATCACCATGCTCAGCTACTTTTGTATTTTGAGTAGAGACAGGATTTCTCCATGTTGGTCAGGCTAGTCTCGAACTCCTGACCTCAGGTGCTCCACCCACATCAGCCTACCAAAGTGGTGGGATTACAGGTGTGAGCCACCTTGCCCAGCCCTTCAAATCTTTTAATGTAATAAAATACATTAATGGATTTTCTAATATTGCACCATTCTTTTTTTTTTTCTCCTTTCTTTGCCTTCTCCGCACTAGCAATATTGTACCATTCTTACATTCCTGGAGTAAACTCCATTTGGTCATAAATCTTTTTTTTTTTTTTTTTCCCCCCCCAGCACCCGGTCATAAATCTTTTAATGTTAATGGTTGTTTTTTTTGTTTTGAGACAGAGTCTTGCTCTGACATCCAGTCTGGAGTGCAATGGCATGATCTCAGATCGCTGATACCTCTCTCTCCCAGGTTCAAGAGATTCTCTTGCCTCAGCCTCCCAAGTAGCTGAGATTACAGGTGCCTGCTACCACACCTGGCTAATATTTTGTATTTTTAGTAGAGACAGGGTTTCGCCATCTCTGCCAGGCTGGTCTCAAACTCCTGACCTCAAGTGATCCACTCACCTTATTCTCCCAAAGTGCTGGGATTACAGGCAGGCATGAACCACGTTAACAGGACAGTGCCTCTCCTGTTAATGGGTTTTCTTTCTTTCTTTTTTTTTTTTTGGAGACAGATTCTCTCTCTGTTGCTCAGGCTGGAGTGCAGTGATGCAATCTCTGCTCACTGCGACCTCTGCTGCTGGGATTTTAGCAATTCTCCTGCCTCAGCCTCTTGAGTAGCTAAGACTACAGGTGCGCACCACCACAGCCGGCTAAGTTTTTTTTTTTGAGACAGAGTCTTGCTCTGTCACCCAGGCTAGAGTGCAGTGGCCACAGTCTCAGCTCACTGCAACCTCCTCCTGGATTCAAGTGATTCTCCTGCCTCAGCCTCCTGAGTAGCTGGAATTACAGGTGCCTACCACCATGCTTGGCTAATTTTTATATTTTAGTACAGATGGCGTTTCACCATGTTGGCCAGGTTGATCTCGAACTCCTGACCTCTTGATCCTCCTACCTTGGCCTCTCAAAGTGCTGGGATTATAGGCGTGAGCCACTGTGCCTGGCCAATTTTTTTGTATTTTTCAGTAGGGATGAGGTTTCGCTATGTTGACCAGGCTGGTCTCAAACTTCCGACCTTAAGTTATCTGCCTGCTTTGACCTTCCAAACTGTTGAGATTACAGGTGCGAGCCACTGTGCCCGGCCCTGTTAATGGTTTTTTTTTTTTTTTGGTGTGGGGGAACGGAGTCTCGCTCTGTCACTCAGGCTGGAGTGCAGTGGTGCAATCTCACCTCACTGCAACCTCCGCCTCCTGATTTCAAGCAATTTTCCTGCCTCAGCCTCCTGAGTAGCTGGAATTACAGGCACACACCACTACACTTGGCTAATTTTTATATTTTTAGGAGAGAGGGTTTCACCATGTTGACCAGGCTGGTCTTGAACTTCTGACCTCAGGCGATCTGCCTGTCTCAGCCTCCCAAAGTGCTGGGATTACAGGCATGAGCCACTGTGCTTAGCCTGACAATCTTTTCCTTTTTTTTTTTTAATTAAAATTACTCTGTTTAGAGTTGATCGTTGTTTTAATTTCCTGTCTTCTTCTAAAAGGCTATGCAAATAGTATGCTTAATGTTTATTTCTGTGTCTTTGGTATTAAGAGTGAATTCTAGTTAACATGGTCTCCAGAAAATCCTGGAAGCATCTGAGGTGCAGTGGGATGGAACAAGGAAAAAAGTCCTTAGACCTCAGCGTCAGTTTGTGGAGGTCTCCGTGCAGCTGGCCTTGACAAACTTGGTGACTCAGGACCATGCTGACTAGGGCTCCTTCAAGGCCCTAGGCTGATGTCCTGTGTCCTGCAACCAGTAGACAAAATGTTCCATTCCCCTCTTTGGGACAACATTGTAAATTTTGCTTTGAGTTAGGTCCCTGGGGCCTTTCTTGGGCAGCTGTCCCCCTACCCCTTTGGCCTTTACCCTCATTCTATGGCTTGGTTTTCTGTTAACCCTACACTGAAGGTCCCCTAAATTGTGGTGTGGTCAGTGTGGCATCTTAGTTCTATTCGGTAATAACTGCTTTGCTTTACTTAACAGGAGAGAGAGGATATGAACACCTAGAAAATGCAGACGAGCCCCACTGTGGGGTAGTGGGGTCCCCAGAAGGGAGGAGTTAGGGAAAGAGAAGACTAAGGCCACCGGTGAGGGAATGGGGGTAGGGAGCAGGAATCCAAAGCCGGCTTTTGCTTGCTCCTGTCATTTCCTTGGCCAGCAAGGAGGCCTTTAGAAAGGAGGCTGGGCATGGTGGCTCACGCCTGTAATCCCAGCACTTTGAGAGGCTGAGGCGGGCAAATCACAAGGTCAGGAAATCGAGACCATCCTGGTCAACAAGGTGAAACCCCATCTCTACTAAAATACAAAAATTAGCCGGGTGTGGTGGTGTGCACCTGTAGTCCCAGCTACTCAGGAGGCTGAGGCAGGAGAATCACTTGAACCCAGGAGGCAGAAGTTGCAGTGAGCCGAGATTGAGCCACTGCACTCAACCTGGCAACAGAGCTAGACTCCATCTCAAAAGAAGAAAAAGGAGGGTGCAGTTCTGCAGTTGAGCCACGTGGTGGCCCATGCCTGCCCAGCAGTTTATCCAGGAGGAGAAAAGCTTGAGGCAGGTGGGATAGGCAGGAACTGCCAAGGGTTCCTAGGGCTTTACCTCCTGGTGTTGTCATGGTCCACGAGTAGATAGTAGGATGGAGTTTCACTACCCTGATGTGTGAGATTGAAGATGCCATTTTTATAGCCCTCAAAGGACTTGAGGCTGTTCTGTGTTGCGGAGCCTGTCTCTGGATGTGCGCCTCTCTCGACAGGTCCACTGTCCCATGAGCAGAAGCTGTCACAAAGTTTGGAAATTGCCTTGGCGTCCACCCTTGGCTCCATGCCCTCCTTTACGGCACGGCTGACCAGGGGACAGCTCCAGCACCTTGGCACAAGAGGGAGCAGCGCTTCCTGGAGGCCTGGCACCAGCTCGGGTAACATGGGCCCCCACCATGTCCTTGACGCCTTGGAACAGGTGGTCTGTTCTTTGTCTCTGGATGCTGGGCTGAGTCCCTGGGGGCTCTGTGGACTTGCCTGGCCAGCCTCTTCCTCAGTTCCAACACCCAGCCTGGGAGAGAGCCTGTTCTCTTGCCTTTTCCAGAGGGAATTGAAGGGCTGCCTGTGAACTTAAACTTCTTACAGGGAAGGCTTTCTTTAGTCAACCCTTAGTAATTCTGTGGGTGTAGGGCTTGGCCACCCTCTGCTGTGTTTCTCTGTGATATCTAATATTAATTATTCTCTCTTGAGGATTTTTCTTGCTCTCTTTTTTGTTATTTATTTATTTTTGAGATAGAGTCTTGCTCCGTTCCCCAGGCTGGAGTGCAGTGGCACAGTCTCAGCCCACTGCAACTTCTGCCTCCTGGGTTCAAGCGATTCTCCTTCCTCAGCCTTCTGAGTAGCTGGGATTACAGGCACCCACCACCATGCCCAGCTAATTTTTTGTATTTTTAGTAGAGACAGGATTTCACTATGTTGGCCAGGCTGGTCTCGAACTCCTGATCTCATGATCCGCCCGCCTTGGCCTCCCAAAGTGCTGGGATTACAGGCATGACCTACCATGCCTGCCTTTTTTGTTCTTTTTTCTCATTTAGTCTGTCTCCAATGTGACGTACAAGCACTTTATGTAAATGTGAAGAGAGATTTGGGGTTGGGTTTTGTCATCCTCATCTTCATCCCTTTGTATTAACACTTCCATCAGTGTCTTAGAAAAGAACACTGGCAGCTTATGGGCCAGTTTTTGCCTAAAATGAACCTTGGCCCCCACAGTATGCCAGAATCTGTTAGAATACAAAACAAGAGAAACTGACTGCAAAGCAAGGCATTTTTTTAATGAGATAGAGCTTGGTGGGGCCTATGATAAGGCACACACCTGATTCCTTTCCTGCCTGCACAAAGCCAGTGCTTTCCGTTGGTGTCTAGACCCCATGCTGCCTTCCTCTTCTGTCTCTAGTTCCCCACTTCCCTGTCTTTCTCCTGCCTACTCTGATTATCCTGACCACCCCCAAGAACCTGTCTTATAAAGTGGCCTCCACTTCCCTGACTTCACATCTCGTGATTGCTTACCCTTTCGGCAGTATGTTATGTGGCCAGCCAGCCCGTGCTGCCCGAGATGCCTTCTCTCTTGGCTTTCAGGCTGTTTTGCATGTTTTCTCCTGTCTTCAGTGGTCCCTCCAGTTTCCATTGCCAGTTGCCTTCTCTACCAGCTCTGGCCCTGGACTCTCTAAATCTCTTTTTTTTTGAGACAGAGTCTCACTCTGTTTCGCTCTGTTGCCTGGGCTGTGGTGCAGTGGCATGATCTCGGCTCACTGCAACCTCTGCCTTCTGGGTTCAAGCAATTCTCCTGCCTCAGCCCCTGCTAGTAGCTAGGATTACAGGCATACGCCACCAAGCCCAGTTAATTTTTTTGTGTGTATTTTTAGTAGAGACTGGCTGGTCTCCAACTCCTGACCTCGTGTTTAGCCTTGTTGGCCAGGCTGGTCTTGAACTCCTGACCTCAGGTGATCCACCTGCCTCGGCTTCCCAAAGTGCTGGGATTACAGGCATGAGCCACCACCCTCGGTCTCACTGTGTCTTTTTCTTTAAGGGACAGTCTGTTCTTTGTGCTTGCTGTCCTTTTATTCTTCGTGGCTGGCCCCTTTTCATTCTCACAGCTCTTCCTGTAGGAGGCCATGTTAGCCCACCCTGTTCAAAGCAAGGTCTCTTTTTCATCCCCTCTCTTAATCGCCTCAGTTTGCAGTTATATACTTGGGTTTCCAGTCTGCCCAGGGCACAATAATTGTCTTTTCCTTGATGATTGTTTTTTTCTGTCACTGAAACTGCCCATGGGGCTCTAGGCCTGTGAGACCCTTTAATAGGACTTCTGGTCAGTGCTGGGAGAAATTGGGGCCCTTGCATGCCTCTGTGGTGTTGTGCCAGGTGTGGTTTTTAAAACTGATGGAAAATAAGTTCTCATGATGCACTGTGGATCAGGCAGATCTCTGAAGCCTCTAGCAGAGCCTTCATGGAAAGGGAACCACTGAAAAGCAGTCAGTGGCTCTTTCCTCCCTTCCTCCCCTTCCTTCTTTCCCTCCTCCCTCCCCACCTTCATTACTCCTTGGCTTCTCTCTCCCTCCTTCCCTTCCCTCTAGAGGTTCACCTTTCCACTCGCTGGAATTCTTGGCTTGTGCACAGGAGAGGAACCGGTACTTTTATGTTGCTTAATGTTTGGCCCAAAGAAAACGCCCACAGCCAGGCCACTCTCCTGGCTACAGTTCTCAGGGATGTGGAGGCAGGGAGTGCTTGTTAGACTACACTTCAGTTTCTGCACCCTTGTGTAGGGCACCCCTGCTCTCCCTTCTTTGGTTCCTGGTGCCTGAGTGTAGATGGCAGGTCCATTTATCACATGTGGATGGAGCAGGTGCCCTGTGAGGTGCTGCACCAGGCCCTGAGGCCAGATGAACAACATGGACATAGTCCTGACCCTCCGGGCCTGCAAAGCCTGGGGAGGAAGAAGGCATGCATGCCAGCTTGGAGCTGAGAAGTGCGAATGGGCTCTAAACGCGCAGGAAAGGGGCAGTCTGGGAAGGCTTCCTGGAATGGGTGAGGTCTGAGCCAAGTCTCCAGATAAGGGCATTCTAGGCAGAGGGAACAGCAAGCACAAAGTGAGGAGGCCAGCAGCACCTCTGAAGTCTGGCCAGTGTGTGTGCAGAGAAGTGATTGGAAGCTGCTGCACTCTAGAAGGTGAGATTGGTGTGAAGAGAGGTGAGGAGGCTGGGTGGGCCGTGCAGGGAGTCTTGACTGTCCCAAAAGATGGGGAGCCATCTACTCTTAAGGTAGAAAGCAGAGGCATGGGGTGATCAGGTTACATAGGTGGGTCATTGGAGGCAGCTTTGAGGACAGATTGAGAGGACAAGCCTGGAGAAGAGTGAAGAGTTAGGAAGAGATGTGCTGAGCAGCCTGGATTATGTTAAGAAACATTTCTGAAGCAAATTGATTTGAGGTTCCTTTGGGATCCTCCAGAGAGTAGTGGCTAGGAATGGAGACAGGGACCACAAAGAGGACAGGCAAGCCCATCCCCTGTCACTCCAGAGGGCCACAAGGAAAGGAAGAGCCGTGGGTGCAGCCTAGTGGGGCATGGCCAGAGCTGCCCACTGTGACCCTCATTCAAGGATGCCCTGCAGGAGTTGCGGAAGGAGGGAGAGCCTGCCCAGATGGCCAGGGAAGCACAGGCGGGGATTGAGGGGTCGGGAGCAGAGCTGCCAGTAGCAGCGAGGGGGCTGCAGGCTGCAGGGCTGAAGGGAGCAGGAGCCAGGCCTCAGAGGCAGGTGTGCTGCAGGCCTCAGCCCTGTCTCTGCTGACCTCCCTCCTCACACTTCCCAACTCTGGTACACTGGACCATGTGCTGTTTTTCCTTTTCTTTTTCTTTTTTGTAGAGATAGGATTGCGCTATGTTGCCTAGGCTAGTCTCGAACTCCTGGCCTCAAGTGATCCTTCTGCCTCAACCTCCCAAAATGCTGGGATTACAGGTGTGAGCCACCCACTGGCCTGCCTTTTCTTTTTCTTGTCACATCTCGTTTCTTGCAGTTTATATTGTCAGAGTGAGTTGTGCCTTGCCCCAGCCTTGGCTGCCTATCTCAGGGAAGGTATAGCTTGCTGGGAGACCAGGAGGAAGGGCCTAGTCCTGCCTGCTGCCCTCAGAAGCCAGCTCTTCTCAAGCATTCGTAGAGGCACTGAGATTTGGTCAAAGATGATAGAGAAAAGGCCTCCTGGGTTCCCGGGCTCTCTCTCCATCTCCCACTCCCTTCCCAGATCAGCCTGGGGCAGGCTCAGGAGGGATGAACCAGCTGCTGCAGTGGCCTGGTGGGAAGGCTGTGCCTCTCAGACAAGCCTAGACCATTGAGCAGCTTTCCTAACCCTGGGCTGTTTTCCTCCCTGATTTACCAGAGCAGCCTGGGAGCATCCCAGGCCCCGAGTGTGCCTCCTGCAAAAGAGTGTTTTCGCCCTACTTCAAAAAGGAGCCAGTGTACCAGCTGCCCTGTGGCCACCTCCTGTGCCGACCCTGCCTGGGTGAGAAGCAACACTCCCTGCCCATGACGTGCACCACCTGCCAGCGGCCAGTTGCTAGCCAGGATGTGCTGCGGGTCCACTTCTGAGTGACTGGCCTCCACCGGAGGAGACCCATCACTGGGAGGAGCTGAGGGGAACAGGAGCAGGACACAGCACCCCTGAGGTCTGGCCAGACCCCAGGCACAGAGCTGTCTGCTCCCTCCCGGGGCTCTCATTCTCACTTCACAGTGTAGCATACTGCTTTCGCAGTGGTGGCAAAAGGGCAACAAAGCCATAGGCCAGAGGGCGGGGTGAATGTCCCTGTCTCCCCTGCCTCCCTGCCACTCACCCTGCCTGAGCCCAGGACCTGCTGGAACCAGCCCCACCCTAGGCAGGAGCACCCCTACTGAGGGCCCCCCATGCAGTTTATGTGTACCCCCATCCAGCAGGGCACTGTGGGTGGCTCACCCTAGACTGTGGCTCAGATCTCAGGAGCCTCCGCCTTCAGGGTCATCCAAAAGTGGACCTTGGGGGTTGGGGGTGTCTGTGGAGTGCATGACTCAGCCCCTGACTGGCAGCCTTAATAAAGCGATGGTTGACGTCTGCTCTGGGCTTCCTCCTGGTAGAGTGCCCGTCTGTGTCGTCACACTCCTGTCGCCCACCTGCACCCACACAAGTAGAACTCGCAGGGCAGCTGTATGTAGTGACTGCAACCCGTCAGGTTGTCATTCCTGTCAACAGCCTGAAAGGACACAAACTGGAGTTTTCGGATCTGTCCCCTGCGTGGGGGCTCAGAACCTAGGTTTGCAGGTGGGTGTACGTGGTGGGAGGGTGGAGAGCTCCCTTTACCTGTGCCAGCCATGCTCAGCTGGCTCCTCAAACTGCCCCCTGACAGGGAGCGCAGCGTGTCTGCATGTGGCCGGTTTCAGGAAACAATACTTGTTTACAGGCTGCATTCTTCAGTCCAGCATTTAGCTTTATGGAGTCCCAAATAGATCCATATCCCTACAACTCGATACTGTATCAGATTCCAGCCATTAGAAGTACCTCAGTGAGAAAACACACCTGCCTTGCCCTCTTCCCTTCTAAGTATGTTCGGGAAGGAGCAGCCTGGAGATGCTTTGTAAAGCTGTGTTTTACCCTTGAGCTTAGCGCAGGTCCCTGTGAACAGGCCATGGTGCACTGCGCATTCCTTTCCTTTAGGCCATCCAGGGCTCTAGACCACACCCAAGACTTTAGAGATCGGGTTTGGGATTAGGTTTTTTTGGAGACAGAGCCTCCTGTGTTGCCCAGGCTGGAGTGCAGTGGCACGATCGCGGCTCACTGCAACCTCCACCTCCTGGGTTCAGGCGATTTTCCTGCTTAGCCTTTGGAGTAGCTGGGATTACAGGTGTGCGCCACAATGCCCAGCTAATTTTTTGTATTTTCAGTAGAGATGGGGTTTCACCTTGATGTTGGCCAGGCTGGTTTCGAACTCCTGACCTCAGGCAGTCTGCCCACCTCAGCCTCCTGAAGTGCTGGGATTATAGACATGAGCCCCCGAGCCTGGCCAGCTGTTTTTCTTTTTTTTTTTTTGAGACAGGGTCAGTCTCTGTTCCCCATGCTCGAGGGCAGTGGTATGATCATAACTCAGTGCAGCCTTAAACTCCTGGGCTTAAGGGATCCTCCCACCTCAGCCTCCCAGGTAGCAGAAGCTATAGGCACGTCCCACCCTGCCCAGCCAATTTTTTTATTTTTTGTAGAGGCAAGGTCGTGCTATGTTGTCCAGACTGGTCTCTAACTCCTGGGCTCAAGTGATCCTCCCAAAGTGCTGGGATCGCAGGCGTGAACCACTGCCTAGCCAAGCCTGCATTTTCTTGAGTTCGTATGTCATTTGTCCACAAAGGTGGCTTCAGAGAGGTGGTCACATGCTTCCCTCTGCTTCCCAATGGCACTGACCTTGATTCAGCCCTCACATGAGACCTGAGGGTCTGCATGGATGCCCTGTGCCACCCTGGTGGCTAGGCTCCTGTGTGCCCCTGGCTTTCAGTGTCTGTGCCTCTCCAGAATCCTGCCTTGCCCTCCTATGTACTTTTGTTCTTAGAAAAGCCCCAGCACATTAGCCGGGTGTGGTGGTGGGCACCTCCCTGCAACTTGGGAGGCTGAGGCAGGCGAATCACTTGAACCTGGGAGGCGGAGGTTGCAGTGATCCTAGATTGCGCCACTGCACTCCGGCCTGGGTGACATAGCGAGACTGGCTCAAAGAAAAGAAAAAGCCCCAGCATGTAGCAAAAGCATTCCTTGGTGAGTGTGGGGGGTGGTGATTCCCACTCTCAACCTGTCATGGTCTCAGGGAACAGCCTACTTCTCACTAGCAGCTTGACACCCACAGTGTGCTCTGGCTGCTGGGGCCCATCTCTCCCGGGGAATCCTGTCCACTCAACCCCAGGAGCCCCAGTGTGCAGTCAGCATCAGCACAGCTCTCCCAGGTGAGGGCTGGGCTGCCTCCCCTTAAGCAGCTGTGCTGGAGGTACTATCCAGACCGCCTACAGGGCCCTAGGGAATCTGCATTTACAGGCTCCTGCCCCCAAGACTGCTCTGGTGGAAAACCCAGCCTGGGAGTCCCTGGAATGTCAGGCCCTGTCCTAGGTCCAGGTGGAGCAATGTCCAGGAGTTGCGTTCATTTTTCTTATTTGAAAAACTTACCCAAAAGGAAGTGGTCTTTCCACTACCCTTGCCAGAAACATGCTAAGCACCACTGAGCTCTGTTTCTGTCCCCTAGAAAATGGGGATAAAATTTCTTTTGCTGTCACATGGCTCCGAAGGCAGTTTATTTCTCACTAGAGCCTGGACCCAGGCACAGAGCAGCTACAACACGCAGAGATGAAATCCACGGAAGAAGACTCAGAACCCCAGAGCCTTGCTGTGGCCCTGCTGCCCTCCAGAGACCTCTGCCCCCTCCATGACCAGAGGGTCTGTGGGCACATGTCTCTTCCCCTTTCTGTGACATTGACTCGATGGCCCTCTGAAAGCAAGAGGCCAGGGCCATGGCACCCCTGCAGTTTGGGGGGCAGAGGGGCCCAGGCAGCTTCAGTCTCCAAATCTCTCTTCCCAAGGTGCAAAGGTTGTTTGCCTTGTGGCTCTAGCCTTGGCCATTCTCTGTCCTCATTCGCAGGGGCTTCGGCCCTCCAGTCGACCTTTCAGCCACTGAGTAGTTGGAAGAGAGGTTGGTGGCAGAAAAGAAGTAGATGAACCAAATGGCCAGGAAGAGGAATAGCTGCTCAGAGTGTTCCATCTCCCTAGAGCTGGGCTGCCAGGCCCTGGGGCACCTGGGGTGTGGGGCTTAGCAGCTTCTCCCAGCCCCACACCTGCCCTGCTTCCCCCATAGCTCTCCAGCTTGAGGCCTCCCAGCAACTGGGCACTTTTCCATTCCCCAGGAGTTGGGCCCTCGGCAGCCTTGGTTGCTGGAAGTAGGTCTGGAGACAAAGAGCCCTGCCCTGGAGGAAACTGCTTTGCCTGCCCGGCCTCCTGCCTGCGGTATTGTGACATTGTGAGGTGGGAGGACTGCCATTGTGGACACTGGGGTGGGGAGATGCTTCAGGCTGGTTGCTTCCCAGGGGCTCCGGTGGCCTTCACTGAGCAGAGCCTGGCTCCAGAGCTGCCCCCCGGGCCTCTCCCCACTCCCTGCCCAGGGCTGCCGTCAACTCACCTGGATGCTCAGCATGCTCACACGGTCTCTCCTTCCAGTTCTGGGTTGGAAGGTGGGTGGCTGGGTTGGGAATCAGTCAAAGCTGCACTGTCCAATAGAGTAGCCACTAGCCACAGTGGCTATTTAATTAAAAGTAAATGAGATTTGAAACTCAGTTCATTACCCACACCACCCACATTTCAAGTGCTTGGTAGTCACATGGGGTTAATGGCTCCTGGGTTTTGGCCATTATCCAAAAGACAGTTCCAAATGCCATAACCCCAAATGTTGAAATCCCTAAAGTCTAAAATCCCTTGGTGTCTAACTGAATCCCCAAATCAAAAATTACAGATTTGAAATTAGGTACAATCCAGACTTCTTAAGTTTGGATTTTGGGATTGTGATTTTTAGGATTTCAGACTTTAGGAGTTTTGATCTTTCGGGATTTCAACATTCAGGATTATGGTACTGGGATCCTGTTTTGGGGGTTATGATCAGCCCAGGTGGGTCCTATGTTGGACCGCACAGATAAAGACCATTTCTACCATCGCTGAAAGTTCTGGACAGTGCTGGGCCAAAATAGAAGCTTGGTCCCCTTCCCTCTTATGAACTGTCACCTGGGAGAGGAGGAAAGCCCACCTTCACGGGGACAGGAGGGCAGAACAGTAGGGAGCAAAATCAGACAGGCTCGAACCCCACCTGCCTTCCTCCCCTGCGGGGCGGAAGCGGTACACCCAGACTCCACCTGGCCATAATGCACTCTCTCCCTTGCAGAGAGGTGCCTGAAATTGCTCTGTCTGTGCCAAGTGGGTGACAAGATCTCCAGAGTGGCACAGGACTGAGGTGAGGACAAAGGAGGAAGCCTTGGGATGGTCAAGTGTATTCCGTCAGGGTTTTCACCAATAACAGGTAATGCTACCCTTAACCCAGTTATCATGTGACCACACAAACATGTTGATGTTTTCCCTTACAATATTTTTCTGTAAAGAAAAAATATTTATAAATATAAAGTGCATGGTTCTGTTGCCTGCTATTTCTAACGCCATCTCATGGACATTTGCCCTTGTCGTTAGATACTTTTCTTATAAAGCTCATTTGTAGGTCGGGGGTGGTGGCCTACAAATAGGCTTTATAAGAAGAGTATCTGCACCTGTAATCCCAGCACTTTGGGATGCCGAGGCAGATGGATCACCTGAAGTCAGGAGTTGAAGACCTGCCTGGCTAACGTGGTGAGGCCCTGTCTCTACTAAAAATACAAAAAACTAGCTGGCGTGGTGGCACACACCAGTAATCTCAGCTACTCAGGAGCCTGAGACACGAGAATCGTTGAACCCAGGAGGCTGAGGTTGCAGTGAGCTGCGATCGTACCACTGCAATCCAGCCTGGGCAACAAGAGCAAAACTCCGTCTCAAAAAATAAAAAATAAATAAATAAATAAATAAAGCTCATTTGTAAGAACAAGCCAAGGTAGCCAAGAAAACCATGAAAAAGAACAGTTTGGGTTGTGAGTGGGGAGAACTAACTCATGAATACACAGGCAGATGAGCAAAACAGAATGAAAAACTCACAGGCAGGCCCAGCTGCACATGGACGTTTTTTGTACTGCAAAGGCGGGAATTGGGGGGAAACTGTCTTTCCACAGAGGGTGCTGGAGTCACTGGGCCAATGAAACCATGCAAGAACTAGAGATCAACGGAAAACCAGAGAATTCCTGCGCAACCTGGGAGTGAGGAAAACTGTCCTAATTCAAAATCCAGGCCGGGCGTGGTTTCTCACACCTATCATTTCAGCAATTTGGGAGGCCAAGGCCGGTGGATCACTGAGGGCAGGAGTTCAAGACCAGCCTGACCAACATGGCAAAACCTCGTCTCTACTAAAAATACAAAAATTAGCCGGTGTGGTGGTGGGCACCTGTAATCTCAGTTAGGAGGCTGAGGTGGGAGAATTGCTTGAACCCTGGAGGCAGAGGTTGCAGTGAGCCGAGATGGTGCCACTGTACTCAAGCCGGGGCGACAGAGCAAAACTCCATCTAAAAAAAAAATCAGATACAGTAAGGGAAAAGACTGATAGATTTGACTGCCAAAAGAAAACCAAAAACCAAAAAACCAGCTGGGCATGGTGGCTCACACCTGTACTCCCAACACTTTGGGAGGCTAAGGAAGGATGATCACTTGAGCCCAGGAGTTTGAGACCAGCCTGGGCAACACAGGGAGACCCTGTCAAAAATATACAAAAAATACAAAAATTAGCTGGGCATGGTGTCGCGTGCCTGTAGTCCCAGCTACTCAGGAGGTTGAGGCAGGAGAATCACCTGAGCTTGGGAAGCAGAGGTTGCAGTGAGCCAAGGTCACACCACTGCACTTCAGCCTGGGTGACAGAGGGAGACTCTTCCTCAAAACAAACCAAAAAACCCTCTTACATGGAAAAATTCATTAGCAAGTAAAAATAAAAATTACCAGCTGGGAAAATATATTTGGAACCTGTATTAAATGGTTAATATCCATAACATACAGCTTCTAAAAATTAACAGATTCACAAAGAAATGCAAATGGCTTTTAAACATGCAAACAATGTTCAACCTTGCTCATAATATGATGAAATAAAGAGGACTAGAAATACCACTTCTTGCTTAGCAGATTGGCAAAAATCTCCATGTTTTGTCAAAATTTGTAGGCAAGACTGTGGGTTAATGGGCTGTCATACACTATCGGTGAGAAGACTACAATCTTTGGCAGGGAATGTGGCAATATCTGGGCAAGTCATATATGTATGTACCCTTCTGCCCAGCCATCCTACACCTAGGATTCTGGTCCAAAGATCCCCTGGAAAAATATGAAAAGAATTCCAGCCCCAGCAGCAGGCAACCTGGGCACCCAGAGCTGATCTTTGAGAGGCTGAAGAGCCATATTGCCCTCCATGCAGGAGCCAGCTGTGTCCAGCCTATGGGCTCAGAAGCAAGAGTTTTATACATGCATTACTTCACACATATTATCAAGGAGATTATGGAGACCTTGGAGGCCATGATGCATGTTAAAAACTTTTGCATTCACCGGGCGTGGTGGCTCATGCCTGTAATCCAAGCACTTTGGGAGGCTGAGGTGGGCGGATCACAAAGTTAGGAGTTCGAGACCAACCTGGCTAATATGGTGAAACCCTGTCTCTACTAAAAGTACAAAAATTAGCCAGGCATGGTGGTGGTCCTGGCTACTGGGGAGGCTCAGACAGGAGAATCACTTGAACCCAAGAGGCAGAGGTTGCAATGAGCCAAGATTGCGCCACTGCACTCCAGCCTGGGTGACAGAGTGAGACTCCGTCTCAAAAACAAAACAAAAATCTTTTGCATTCAAAAGTTTTAATAGAATTTTATATTGAATACAATGTCCTAGGCATTGCATTAAGTGCTGATGTATTATCCTATTTAATTCCCACAACTCGGCCAGGCATGGTGACTCACACCTGTAATCCCAGCACTTTGGGAGGCCAAGGTGGGTGGATCACAAGGTCAAGAGCTCAAGACCATCCTGGCCAACATGGTGAAACCCCGTCTCTAGTAAAAATATAAAATTTAGCTGGGCATGGTGGCACGTGCTATAGTCCCAGCTACTTGGGAGGCTAAGGCAGGAGAATCGCTTGAGCCCAGGAGGGGAAGGTTGCAGTGAGCTGAGATCAAGCCACTGCATTCCAGCTTGGGCAACAAGAGCGAGACTGTCTCACAAAACAAAACAAAATAAAGACAAAAAACTCCAACTCTTGTAGTTAGGAGGAAACAGAGGCTCAGACCACAAAGAGCCCCTCTGATTGCCCAACACAACCTGCACAAGTCTCTTCGCTTGGTTTCAAATCCATTGTGCAATCCAGAACCAGAGGCACAACAGAGTCTAATTATGGAATAACAATCTCATGACCAGGCTCCAGCACAGCCTTTGAAGTTCAGTATTGCACCTCTAGGCACAAAAATAAAAGATGCTCTCCCCATAAAGGCTCAGCAGAGTTAGTCTCATTTAAATACATGAATCTCCTGGTTGAAATTTGAATGGAAAAGTACTCATGTGTAGTTCCTGGGAGAGGAGAGTGTGGGAGGAGCAGCACAGACAGGCTCAGGAATGGCTCTATCTGGGACCCAGGGCACTGGGTGCTAGGATCCTGCCGAGGTGCAGCTGCCTCGCTCCAGAGACCCCAGTGTGGGATACGTGTGACCAAAGAAGATCCAGTTTGAAAGAGAAATGAAACTGGGTGTTGGGAAACCCTGTGAGAGTTGGTAACCAAAGGAGGCCTGTGTGGTCCTGGTGAAGTGGGAAGGTGTGAGGGGCAGACAGCAGAGCAGGCCCAGGAAGAGGTCAGGAAGCAGAGGCGCAAGTCAGGAGCAAGGCGGCGCTGGGGCCTACCATGTCCTCTAAACTGCTGGAAAGAACTGGGCTTGAAAAGGGAGGACACAGGGAATCAGCATGAGGAGACAAAGGCACAGGCTGGCCTCCCCCTCCCACGATTCTTGATACCCTTCCCTTGGGTCCAGAGCCCAGACACCGGCTCTGACTCAGCGGATTAAATGCAACCCCATGGCTCATTAATTAGGAAGCCTGTAATTAGCCTGTCTCAGAAACCAGGAGCCTCCAGAGAGAGCCCCTCTCACCTGCCTTCCTCTCTCCCACCCAAAGGATGACATCAGGCTGGGGAGGTCCGGCTCCTGGGACTGAGGAGGGCAAAGGGGAGCGTGAGCAACAGGAGGAATGAGATACCGCGTGTATGCATGACAGCCTCCGTGAACTGACCTTCAATCATGGGATGATGGAAATGACAAGTGGCCTGAACTTCCATAGATGTTTCCGCTACTGAAGAAACTCCGGGGCAGGCTTGAGTGTGGCCCAGGTGGATCTATAACACCCCCAAAGCTTCCACCCTCTACAACTCAGTGTGAGAGTGAAACCGATACTGTGGCCAGGATGTGGCTGGCACTGCAGTGTGACTCGGCAGCGCTGCTTAGACGGCTGCTTTTAGCTGCCTCCCTCACGGCTTCCCTGCAGCTGCTTTTCCACTTTTCTCTTCAACTTTGGATTTTTCCACCTTGGAAAACTCTGTTCCAAAGCTTAGTCTCCTTTCCTCCTGGCTTCATGTCACTGTGATTATTTTAAATTATTGGCTGCCAATTATTTGAACCACTGTTATTGTTTTTTTTTTTTAAAGATGGGGTTTCACCATGTTGGTCAGGCTGGTCTTGAACTCCCGACCTCAGGTGATCTGCCTGCCTTGGCCTCCAAAGTGCTTGGATTACAGGTGTGAGCCACCACGCCTGGCCCATTTGGCCCACTTTCCCTGCCAAAGGTGAGCTCTGTTCTTTGTCTTGACCTTGGATGGGGGTGTGGCTGCTTCAGTCTATAGAGCATGGCAACACTGACCTTCTGTGATTTCAGAGGCTGTCATAAAATGCCATGTCACTCTGCCCTTGTTTTCTGGAGAGTCACTCTTCATCAAAGCCCTGAGCTGTCATTCAATGGCTTCAAGAGTGAATCCAGGCTGGGCCCGGTGGCTCATGCCTGAAATCCCATCACTTTGTGAGGCCAAGACAGACAAATCACCTGATGTCGGGAGTGTGAGACCAGCCTGGCCAGTATGTTGAAACCCCATCTCTACTAAAAATACAAAAATTAGCTGAACGAGGTGGCGGGTGCCTGTAATCCCAGCTACTCGGGTGGCTGAGGCAGGAGAATTGCTTGAACCTGGGAGGCGGAAGTTGCAGTGAGCTGAGATCATGCCACTGCACTCCAGCCTGGGTGACAGAGCAAGACCCTGTCTCAAAAAAAAAAAAAAGATGACCACAACTTCCAGGAAAGCAGGCAGTCCAGGCAACAGCCCCAACTGAGCCGAGCCTTTGGGTCACTCCCGCCCAAGTGCCCCGGCATGTGAGTGAAGAAGGCCCACGGGATTTCAGCTTGTAGCCCTCTCCTCCTTGCTGTGGAGGCCCCAGACATGGTGGAGGAGATTAAAGGTGTTCACTGACCTTCAGAACCCGGGCATGTAATAAAATGGCGATGGGTCGGTGCCACTGCATTTTGAGTGGTTTGTTACACAGCAACAGTAATGGAAACAACTACAAAATCCTGGATGATTGCTGTAGCGGGGCCAGGAAGAACAGAGAAACCAGGTAGCAAAGCCAGAATCCTCCTTAGCTGAGAGTGACTGCGAACGCCCGTGTGCTGACAGTTCATACCGTTCACTGCTGCGGGGCCAGGGCGGGCAGACGGGCCAGGCTGGCTGGGGCTTGCCTACAAACCAGCTCAGCTTGTCATTTACCGAAGACCCAGGGTGGGGTCCATGGTGGGTCCTGGGGACATAGTGACCAAAAGGACCACTCTCTAGTGGGGTGGAAAGACAGGGAAACGTGAATAAAGCATGTCTAGGGTTCCACATTGACCTGAAGGAGAGGGAGGAGGCTGGTTTTGCTAAGGTTAGGGGTGGGAGCAGGAAAGAGGAGACTCAGGTTCTGATATTAGAAATTATCTCAGTAGGCCGGGTGTGGTAGCTTACGCCTGTAATTCCAGCACTTTGGGAGGCTGAAGTGAGAGGATTGTTTGAGCCCAGGAATTCAAGACCAGCCTGGATAATATAATTAGCTGGGCATGGTGGCGCACGCCTGTAGTCCCAGCTACTCAGGAGGCTGAGGTGGGAGGATCATCTGAGCCCAGGAGGTCAAGTGAGTTGTGTTTGTGCCACTGTCCTCCAGCCTGGGCAACAGAGTGAGACCCTGTCTAAAAGAAAAGATCTCAGTGGGTTTGTGGGGGTGAGGGGTGCTTAGCTCCATGGCATTTATTTCCCTTCCTGCTGCATCCTGGGTTTCTTTCAAGGCACTACCCTTTCCCCATTGCGTACAGTCTGAAGGAGCTTTATTTAGACACTTGAGGGATGAGCATGATCCAATCTAATCAGAAAAGCCAGCCCCTCCCTGGAGTACGCATCTGAGCAGAGGGATCAGGAGGAAGGCACTGGAGTCTCCTGCAGCCGACCCTGTGGATGCCACTCCCAGGCTCTGTTCTCTTGACCCCTGGGTGCGTCTGTCCCTCAGATGCCACACCTTGGGGTCAGTGGTTTGCAGCTGGCCTTCCTCTGGACACCTGCCCTCAGCCAGTGAGAGCTACCTCACCAAGAAAGACTCCCTGCCCACATTCCCCTTGGTCAATGACTAATACACAAATATTAAAAATTTGACCCTCAGTTCAGGCACTGTAACTCATGCCTGTAATCCCAGCACTTTCTGAGGCCAAGGTAGGCAGGTCAGGAGTTTGAGACTGGCCTGGCCAACATGGTGAAACTCCATCTCTACTAAAAATAAAAAATTAGCCGGGCGTGGTGGTGCCCACCTGTAATCCCAGCTACTCAGGAGGCTAAGGCAGGAGAATTGCTTGAATCTGGGAGGCAGAGGTTGCAGTGAGCCGAGATTGTGCCACTACACTCCAGCCTGGATGACAGAGCAACCTTGTCAAAAAAAAAGAAGAAGAAGAAAAAGCCATGATGGTCATCTTCTTCTGGTCTGGACCTTGGTGTCTGGTGCCAGGTGGGGATGCAGCCACTAAGGTGTTGGAGCCATGTGCCCACCACTGAGGGTGGGCTTCTGGCAGATTTTGATCTGTTGCCATGGGATTTCAGGGTTTGAGGGTGTCAAGGACCAATAATGCCTAAGACCCAGACAAGTGGGGCCCTGGCCCTACCCCATGTTTTGGGGAGCCTGCACTGGCCCTCCCTAGGGTGACATCAGGGCACATCTGCACCTTGTGGGCTATGGCTTAGAACACCCTCCCCAACTGTCCCATAACTGTTTCTAGTGCTGGAGAAATCCTCTTCCCTGGGTCTGCTCCCAAGGGTGAAGCACACCTCAGGTGTACCAACGACAGGACTGAGCAGTGGAAAGGGAGGCAGTTTGTGTGGTGTATGAGCAGACCTTGAACTTGTAGGCTGCCCACGCCTGTGCATCTGAGGTCCCTTGGGCTGGAAGACAGAACAAGGCTATGGGGAGAGCCAACTCTCCCAAGTTGCCAAGTCCTTCTGCAGAATTTCAGAGTCTGAGAATTCCAAGTCTGAACCTGGCCTTCCAGGTCTTCATGAACATATATTTGTCAATATATGCAGGAGGATGGAGCATGTTTACTTTTTCTTTTCTGGGTCTTTCTAATCAGAAAAGGAAAAAAAAAAAAAAAGAACATTTGTTAAATTTAGCATTTTGTTAGCTTGATTTACAACTTTATTTTATTTATTTATTTATTTTGAGATGGATTCTCTCTCAGTAGCCCAGGCTGGAGTGCAGCTGCACAATCTTGGCTCACTGTAACCTCCACCTCCCAGGTTCAAGTGATTCTCCTGCCTCAGCCTCCCGAGTAGCTGGGATTACAGGCATGTGCCACCACACCCGGCTAATTTTTGTATTTTTAGTAGCGACAGGGTTTCACTGTATTGGCCAGGCTGATCTCGAACTCCTGACCTCAGGTGATCCACCCACCTCATCCTCCCAAAGTGCCAAGATTACAGGTGTGAGCCACTGTGCCTGGGCCCAGCCATTTTTTTTTTAAGAGACAGGGTCTTACTCTGCTGCCCAGGCTGGAATGCAGAGACAAGATCATAGCTCACTATAACCTCAAACTCCTGAGCCCAAGGCATCCTCCTACCTCAGCCTCCCAAGTAGCTAGGGCCACAGGTATACACCATCACGCCCAGCTAATTTAAAAATGATTTTTAAAAAATTTGTGTAGAAATGGGAGTCTCATTGCATTTCCCAGGTTGGTCTTGAATTCCTGGCCTCAAGAGGTCCTCCCACCTCAGCCTCACAAAGTGGTAGATTCTAGGTATGAGCCATCACACTCAGCCTTAAACTTTTTTAATGGACAATTTCACACAGATACAAGATACAGATTAGTATAATGAATTCTCGTGTGCCCATCACTCAGTTTCAATAACTCTATGTTCGTGGTCTTCTTTCTTCTATAGCAATTAGCCCCTTGCATATTTTGGAGCAAGTTAGGGTGGCACTAGATTAACACAGTTATTATTTTTTAAATTTCAATATTTATTTATTTTTTTGAGACAGAATCTCACCATGTTGCCCAGGCTGGAGTGCAGTGGCACAATCCTGCGTTCAAGCAATTCTCCTGCCTCAGCCTCTGCAGTAGCTGGGAATACAGGCATGCGCCACCACACCTGGCTAATTCTTGTATTTTTAGTAGAGACAGGGTTTCACCTTATTGGCCAGGCTGGTCTCGAACTCTTCACCTCAAGTGATCTGGCTGCCTCAGCCTCCCAAAGTGCTGGGATTACAGGTGTGAGCAACAGTGCCTGGCAAATTAACAAATTTAGACAGTGGAACTCCTGGCGTTTCCTCTTTCTATCAGAATGGCAAAACATGATCTGAGAGAACACATCAAAGACTCCGGGACACGGGAGTGGTGGCCCCTTCAGGGCTGCTCTGAAACCAGAGCAGGTTTGAATCCTGATAATGCTCCTTGCTAGCTCTGGACCTTTAGGAAATTTGCTTAACCCCTTTGTGCCTTCTGAAAAACGTGGCACAAACAAACTTCATGATAAACATATTTCATAGGTCAGGCTCAGTGGCTTAGCCTATAATCCCAGCACTTTGGGAGGCTGAGGCAGGTGGATTGCTTGAGCCCAGGAGTTCAAGACCAGCCTGGGCAACATGGTGAGACTTTGTCTCTACAAAAATTAAAAATTAGCTTCATGTGGTGGCACACACCTATGGTCCCAGCTACTTGGGAGGCTGAGGTGGGAGGATCACTTGAGACCAGGAGGTCGAGGCTGTAGTGAGCTTTGATTGTGCCACTGTGCTCAGGCTGGAGTGCAGTGGCACCATCTCAGTTCTCTGCGATCTCTGCTTCCCAAATTCAAGCAATTCTCCTGCCTCACCTCCTAAGTAGCTGGGACTATAGGTACATGCTACCACGTCTGGCTAATTTTTTGTGTTTTAGAAGAGACGGGGTTTCACCTTGTTGACCAGGGTGGTCTCAACCTCCTGAGCTCAGGCAATCTACTCACCTCGGCCTCCCAAAGTGCTAGATTACAAGAGTAAGCCACCGCGCCCGACCTACAAAAAAATTTTTAACAAATTAGTTGGCATGGTGGGTTGGGCCTGTAGTCCTAGCTATTTGGTAGGCTGAGGTAGGAGAACAGTTCAATGACTGTGCACCTCAATCCAGCCTGAGTGACAGAGCTTGACTCTGTCTCAACAACAACAAAAAGAAAACAGAAGCTAAATGTTTGCAGATAAGTCCAAGTTGGTGGGTAACCACCATCAGTGTTAACAGATTAAATTTGCCTTGTTAAAACAGGAACTCTC